TGTATTTGGCGGGAACCGCGGCGACCCCCGCAGCCCGCGCGCCGATTGGACAAGATGGCGTCACGTGAGGTCCCGCCTCGGGAAATGAGGAGCGCAGGAAGTATCCTCGCGAGATCCGTGGCTTCCATTCCTCCCATAGCTCCCCTACTGATATTCCCGCGGAGAAGCGGGCTTTCTCTGGGCGGCCCGTGGGAAGAAGGTGTTCTGCGATTGGGGGTGGGAGGTGTCAAGCCAGGAGATCGACACTGTGATTGGCTAAGTGCGTGGGACTGGTCCATTAGAAGAGGGAGGTCCAAGGCTTTACGTCATGACGAAACGATTTACGTAGGGTGCAGGTGACAACCTGAAACTGCAATATTAGGTGAAGATTGAAGTTTTGAGTTTATTCTATTTGGACATCGGCTGAATATAGCAACACCAATAAAGTCTGCAAATTACTGCCCCCCGGTGGTTCAATTCCCAGTCAGGGCACATGCCGGGGTTGCGGGCTCGATCCCCAGTAGGGGGCGTGCAGGAGGCAGCCTATCCCATCCATTTTTCTATATCTATCCCTCTCACTTCCTCTCTAAAAATCAATAAAAACACATTAAAAAATATTATAAATTACTTTTTATATGAACAAAAATAAAATAAAATCTGGGCAGCATTTGATATGCACTAAACATATTCAGAGGGAATGAATGAAATAGATGTTTCTGGTTTAATCCTCAGGGTTTTTGCGCACGCTGTTTCTTGCCTAGAAAACTCTTCCCGCAGCTCTTTTCCTGACTAATTTCCACCCAACTTTCAGATCTTAGACTGGCACCCCAACAAGAAGTGCTTACAACTTTTTTTTTTTTTTAATATGGAACGCTTCAAGAATTTGCGTGTCATCCTTGCGCAGGGGCCATGCTAATCTCTGTATCGTTCCAATTTTAGTATATGTGCTGCCGAAGCAAGAACAACTTTTTTAAAAGCAATTATAGCTTATTATATTCTGGCAGTATGCAATGATTTAGACCAGTGGGTCACCGTTGAGGCTGCCCATCATAATCACCTGGGTGTTCTTTCAAACCATTCATAATAACCCCTTCAGGATCTTCAGGAGGGAGGTTGGGGCTTGCACACTCTGAAACAATCCTCTAATCTAGTCCAGTACCTTCTGTTTAGGCATTTGGAAACTTCCAGTAACCTTTTGCTGCAGAAAATTACCCAAATCTGTCAGAGATTTCAGCACTGGAGCTTCAAGCACTTTAGCTCTAGTCACTTTCTTGTTCCTCTTTTTGGATTCATTTACTCATTCTGACTCATTATTAATTTCCAACTTATTCAATACATTTTCTGTTTTAAATTTAAATATTTTTGTTAATCCTCACCTGAGGATTGACAAAAATATTTTCCATTGATTTTTAGAGAGAGTAGAAGGGAGAGGGAGAGACACAGAGAGAGAGAAACATGGATGTGAGAGAGACACATCAGTTGGTTACCTTACACATGCACCCAACAGGGGCTGGGGATCCAGCCTGCAACCGAGGTACCTGCCCTTGACAGGAATGGAACCCAGGACCCTTCAGTCAGCAGGCAGATGCTCTAATTACTGAGCCAAACTGGCTAGGGCTCAATACATTTTCATCAATAAGAATTGATTTTAAGTCATTATCAATATGCCCTGGACAGTGTGTCCAGTGGTTAGAGCATCCACCCATGCATGGAAGGGTCACGGGTAGGATACTGGGTCAAGGGCATGTACCTGGGTTGGGAATTCGCTCCCTGCCCCCAGGAGGCAACCAATCGAAGTGTCTCTTTCACATCAATATTCTCTTTCTTTCTCTCACCCTCCCTCCCTTGCACTCTCTCTCTGTGAAAAGCAATGAAAAAGAAATATCCTCAGGTGAGGTTTAAAAAAAAAAGTCACTATCAATAAACATGTTGAATCCAGGAAGGCTTCCTGGAAGAGGCGATATTCCAAGCAAATTCCTCTTTTATACACAAAACAATGGGGGGAAATATTAGGGAAGAATGTGAAAGATAGGAACTTTAGCAAAGGCCCACAGGCAACAGGTATCCTCGACTACAGAAGAGGAAGAGAGCCCCCGAAATCAGAGGGTGGAGGGGGCCAAATTATGCAAGCTTTGTAGGCTATAGCAGGAAGTTGGGAGTGTATTCTAGGGCAGGTGAGCTTTAAACCGGGAACCCGTGATCTGAATCCTGTTACAAAAGCATCTTTCTGGCCTCCTGATAGGGGATAAATTGGAGGGGAGAACCCGCAGGTGGGCACAACAGAGCGGAAGTTGGTGAGATGGTTTGGTCAGGGCGGAGGACAGTGGGGATAGTGGAAAGGAGATAGAAGCGACACCCTGATGTCTGACTTGGGCAACTGATTGGATGAACACGGTGCAGGGTTCTGGGTAGGATGGTAAGGACTAAACGACCCGCAAGGTGGAATTAGGTATAGCTGAGATTAGTAAACAGTTAGCTGGAGATTTATAAACCCAGTCTCCCAACCTCTCCAGAAAGGTTTAAGCGCCTTTCCCAAGGCGTTAGATAGAACCACCTCCCAGCTTCTAGGGGTCGCTGCAGCCGCCCTGGCCGCTCTAGACTCTCCCCAGGCCACTCGCTGGCAGAAGCGGTCGCTCCCGAGACAGGAGAAGTGCGCGTGCGCTGTCCGGCTGGCCGGGCGCGTGCGCGTGCTCAGACCGGGCCGGCGCCGGAAGTGTGCGGTTGCCATGTAATATCCTGGCCGCGCGGGCGCGAGAGGGGCTGAGGCTGCGCCCGGGCGGGCGCGGAGCTGGCGAGAAGGCTGCGGAGGCGGTGCCGACGGGGCCAGCTGAAGCGCGCGGGGGCTCGGCGGCGCCCGGGAGCCTGTCGCTTGCGCTGTTTCTCCGGTTCGCTGGGTCCCAACGGGAAGTCCGACGGCGGAAGGCAGAATGTCGGTGGCGGGGCTGAAGAAGCAGTTCTACAAGGCGAGCCAGGTGAGCGGAGGGCGAGCTCCCGGACCCGGGCTTCCCGGAATCAGGGGCCAGGCTAGGCCCGGCTCTGGTTCGGGAGGAGGCCGGGGACAGCAAGGGGGCGGCGTTGGCGCGTGTTCCTCGCAGAGTGGGGAGAGCCCAGGAAGGCCGGGGGCTTCGTGGGAGGTGGCCCAGGTCCTGCCCGCCTTGTGGGCTCCAGTCTCCTTGAGAAGGGTGGCTGGACCCCTGGGTGGGGCAGAGAGGCCCCCCGAGGTTGATCTGGGATGTGGATCCCACCCGCCTTCCTCCCCTCTAAAAGGGCAGGGACCGGGGAAAGACAAAGGGAAGAAACAGGACTCTTGCCAGGGAGAGGAAACATTTGTGTCTAGATCATTTCTTTAAAACCAACAACAGAAACCCGTTGGATGGACCCGGTACAAAGTTGAAAGGGTAAAAAGTCAGTTCCTCACTCCAGTCTGTCAGGCATTCAGACCATCTACCCTAAGACAAGGACTGTCACTGACGACTTACGTCCCTTTTCAAAGATACGTGTACGCCTTTCCTTTAAAAACGCACACAGGTCGTGTAGCATGGTCTACAGCAGGGGCGGGGAACCTTTTTTCCGCCAAGGCCCATTTGAATATTTATAACATCATTCACTTAATATAATTCACTTAAAATAAATTTATGTTGTTATGAAAAAACTCTCCTGGATTTGTTGAACTTCGAGTCCTACCTGCAGGTGCCTTGGCGCGGCCAGATTAAATGATTTGTCCCACGGCGGGAAGTTCCCCACTCCTAGTCTGCAGAGTCCTGTGTTCTTTGAGTTTTTTGTTAAATGTGTCAGAATTCTCCACCTCAGGTCACTCTCTGTTGGGAGGGGGCATTCTGGACACTGTGGGATATTGAGCAACATCCCTGGCTCAAGGCAAGGAGCACCCCCAGGCGGGACATCCACAAATGTCTCCAGTCCCTGCCAGTTGCCCCTGGGGAACCCCGGCTGCCCCCTGCCCCAGCGTTACTGCACTAGAACATACCCCTAGAGCGGCGGTTCTCAACCTGTGGGTCGCGAACAATGAAAATACATCCTGCATATCAGATATTTTACATTACGATTCATAACAGTAGCAAAATTACAGTTACAAAGTAGCAACAAAAATAATTTTATGTTGGGGGTCACCACAACATGAGGAACTGTATTAAAGGGTCGCGGCATTGGGAAGGTTGAGAACCACTGCCCTAGAGCTTCTTGGGTCTTTTTAGTAGGTTCCTGGTATTCCATTCCATGAAGTGTACCATAATTTAATCAGTCCTCAATTGATGGTTGTTTAGATTGTTTCCAGTAGTTTTCTGCTACGGTGAATAGACAATATCTTTGCTCACAGAGAGGATTGGATTTATAGGATAAATTTCCAGAAATGGAATGCTGAATCCAAAAATATATGTGTTTTACATGTAACCAATTATATAGGTTTTTTAGAAAGTTGGGGCAAGAAGCCTAAGATTCCTTGAATTCTGTTGGTCCCTGCATCCCAGGTTATGAACCGTAGGTGTGCAGTTTGTGTGGAGAGACTCCGTGGAGGAATGAGTGATAATCTGAGGAATTGTTTAGGCCTTGCTGGCAAACCTGACTGTACTCCTGATTTGAAGAGATCCATTGGGAGGAAAGAGAAACAACTCTCTAGTAACACACAGCTGGTATCTTTTTTTTTTTTTTTTTTAATCTTCACCCAAGGATATTTTTTCCCATTGATTTTTAGAGTGGAATGGAGGGAGGGAGGGAAAGAGCGCGAGAGAGAAACATCAATGTGAGAGAGACACATCCATTGGTTGCCTCTCATACATGCTGCAAATGGAGTGAGGATCAAACCTGCAATCCAGGAACGCACCTTTGACCAGGAATCGAACCCGAGACCCTTCAGTGTGTGGGTTGATTCTCTAACCACTCAGAGTACTGACCAGGCCACAGCTGGTATCTTATCCCTTAAGGGGAAAAGTCACAACCCTAGTGGTTGTCTAGGGCTAAAGACATTTGTGGCCAATCTGTAGACCCCAGATGACGGCTAAACCCTCAAGGAGAAAAGATTTAATCTAGAGCAGGGGAAGGAAACATCCGGCCCTCTGGCCAAATCATTTGGTCTGGCCCTGCCAAGGCAACCCACAGGCGGGACTTGAAATTCAATAAACCTAGGAGTTTTTTCATAGTAACATAAATTTGTATTAAGTGAATTATATTAAGTGAATGATGTTATAAATATCCAAATGGCCCTTGGCAGAACAAAGGTTCCCCACCCCTGATCTAGAGGGATGCTAGGATTGTTGTTGAGAGTACAGCCCTTTGCCCGAAAAGGATGAAATTATATGACCTGGCTCTAGGTTAGACCCTGCTCAGCAGGCATCAGACCCCCATGTGCTTGACGGGAGTACCTGGGGAAGCTGCTCACTGTCTTGGGCCCGGTGTAGTTCCTCCTGCAGGACTGATGTCTCCGTAGGTCTTGGAAGAATTACAGGGCTACTTCGTTTTCTCACATAGACAGGTCTCTGGAAAGCCCTCCCTAGCCCACCCCCAGGGCCCATGCTGGTGGTCCATCCCATCCCAAATTAGCTGGGCCTCTCAGGCCAGCCACCAGAGCCTTTTCTCTCAGGGGGAAACAGGATGCCTACATTCAGAACTGTGAGAAGTGCTTTGAAACCTGGAAAATACAATGCACTGTAAATTAGTGGTTTGCATCAATTTATTATCTGAGGCCCAGCCCCAAAGAATTGCAGCAATGGTCGTATCCTAATCTGAGAGCAATTCCATGTTGAATTGTGCTCTCAAGAATCACCCTGGCTGTGTTCCATTCTCTTCTGCAATAGTTTCCACAGTCCTCCAGCATCTCCATTGTTCATCTGGCCTTGTCCAATTTTCTGTATGTTTCTTTTCTCGATCTTAAGAACACTATCTTTCATCCTCTTCTATGCCCTCAGAATAGGGTTGTCTGTTGAAAAGTAATAATTAATATTTATTGAATTCTCAGTGTGAACCGACAGTATGCTTTAAACCAGTTCATCTCAACTGGCCTCACTTATCTGGCGTAAGGGTAAATATATTCCTCTTTTTACATAAAAAGATTTGTGGACATTTATCTTCCTGTCAAGAACAGTGCTTTTCAACCAGGGCCACTTCCACCCTCCAGGGGACATTGGCAATATTGGGAGACATTTTGGTTGTCACAACTTGGGTTGGTACTGGTATCTAGTGGGAGGAGGCCTGGGATGCTGCTCAACACCCTACACCCTACATTGCACTGGGCAGCCCACACAACCAAGAATTCCCTGGACCCAGATGTTAGTAGTGCTGAAGCTGAGAAACCCTGCTTTAAGGTTTGAGAAAAGTGAGGATAATTATACACCCCTCCCCCCCAAAAATAATCACATTGGGGCCATTCTTGTGGTAGCTGCCTGCTTTTCTCAGTTTTTAAAACATAGATAATCACATATACACAGATGAGCATGGACATAAAACTCAGCATCCAGTTCCCAAATCTTTAGAACTTAAGTGTCTGTGGCATCTGCTATTTTTAAGAAGGTATAAGCTTGCATCTTTGCATCTCAGCCAGGAGTGACTAACCCTGCCTTCTTTCATCTCCTCCCATGCACCTTCCTGGGGACATTTAGCAATGTCTGAGACAGGTTTGGGTTGTCACTACTTGGGGAGAGGGTGCTACTGGCATCAAGTGGGTAGAGGTCAGGGATGGTTGCTAAACATCCTACAATGCACAGGACAGCCCTCCCCACAACAAAAAATTATCTGGCCCAAATGTCAGTAGCACCAAGGTTGAGAAATCCTGCTTTGAAACAGGTTCTTGATTTCAAAGGCTTATAACAGTGTTGTTTCTAAATTGAGAAATAGAAGCCAGGTGGATGTGTGAGAGAGAGCTAGATTTGGCTCCAGGAATAGAGAAACTTGTTTTCTAGCAGGTGAGGCTGTGATGTTAATGAAAATTTTCTAATTTCATTGATGATATTAATAACAAACCAGTTACCAGTACAGGCACACCTGTTTTGTTGCACTTGAGAGATGTTGTATTTTTTACAAATTGAAGGCAAACCCCTAACTCTCCACCCCATCCCAGGCAAAAAGATTATGACTTGCTTTATTGTGGTGCTGGCTTTATTGTGGTGATTTGGAACCCAACCTGCAGTATTTCCAAGGTCTGCCTATATCTGGCAGTATGTTGGAAAATTCCACACCATTTCAGTATCTTAGGTGAAAATTTTCAGGTTTTGCAAAAAATCAGTTTGGGCTTGAGTGGGGGGTTTGTGAGTTTACTTCTTATTATGAACTGGCCACTGCCTGGGTTGCAGGCCTGGACTGAGGAAAGTTGAATAATCTATAGAGGAAAGCAGTAAAATAAATAGGCATCTGTCCTGGGCATCATTTTGGTCCTCTCTGGCCTGCCTGTGTCGTGCCCACTCCCGCGGTAGCTCTCTGAGACGTAGGCCAGGCTAGAATTGGGGGTGGTGCTTTAAATGCATATTTCTGGGAAGCTGCGGAGGGTAAAGGAACTTTACTAGTGATATCTAAACTTGGAAGTTCACGTCTCATTGTCGTGTGTGTTTGGGTGACATTATTTCCAGACCTATACTGCTAACTGGTTTTCTGATAACTCTTGTGGCTGGGTTGTGGAGAGATCTGAAAGTGTAACTAGGAATAGAGCTGGCAGCTGCCTGGAATGCTGGCCTGACTTTTTTTTTTTGTCTTGTCTGAAAGGAGGGAGAGAGTTTGGACTGAAAGATTGGTTTTGTCTGAGCTAGGAGGAAAATTCACAACCACCATATCATAGCTTTGAAGTTTGTTGGGTGCTTGCTAGCTTCACACTCACATCCATACCCAGCCTCACCCCCTTTGTGCCTAGGAGGAAAGAATGAACTTCCTGTGAGAGGCATGGGGGCGAGGGGAGGCCTGGGGGACCTAGGACCCCAACCTGTTAGAGTGTTTTTGGGGAGATGTGGTTAGTGTTTGGAATATCTGCAGATAC